GTCACCTTATCTCCAGCACAAAATGATCCCAGTGTTGCCTCTTGGTTAAATTGCCAACTCTCTCAGATAGGACACTGGTTTCAGATCTTGGCTCAGTCGCACTGTTGAGAGAGCCTGTGCGAAGGGTTAAGAAGCCTACTACATACATTTTAAATACGTGGGCACATGATATGACTAGAGAAGGACTGGCTGGATGACGCTGCCCAGAGCTCGGAGGCACGTCTGGGGTCTCTGGCCTCCCCCGATTCGCAAACCTCGACACTAGGCCATTTGTAGCTGCAGCGAAACTAACTCCGTTTCTGTGTCGTTGCCGCGGGCTTTCTGAAAGGCCTGACGGGCACCGGCAAGTACTCTCACCCCTGCTGGGGAGTCTCCCTCCCCCTCTCTTCCTCTCTCTCTCCTTTCCTTGAGTCGTTTCATGAAAATCCAAGGCCTAGCTCTATTTTGGCTTCCCCCCCCGCCGAGGAGAAAGATGTGGATAAAATCTTCCTGGTCTGCTTTTCGAGGGGTCATGAGGAAGCTGCCTTCCGGTCTGATGAAAGACTGTCAGGTTTCCTCCCTTTATCAAGAAACACGTTGAAGAAGTCAAACCTCCAGGGTGCAAAAACAAAAAACAAAAAAAAGCCAGAAAGGCAGCGGGCTTTGGTGACAGGCGAGCTGAGCATTGCATCCTAATATGCAGTCTCAACATCCTCATCCTCCTCCTCCTCCTCCTCATCATTATCATCATCATCACCATCATCACCATCGTCATCATCATCATGCAGTTATCACTTTTTTGTTCACAGGCAGCAGAAGACCTGAGCCCTGGGCTGGACGGCAGTTCAAGGCCCGTGGACCAGTCAGAAGACCAGATGTCCAGACTGCCCGAATGTTTTTACATACAGTTCTACAGTGAAATCAAATGAATGGATCTATTGATTGCCTGGCTATTGATTCAGGAGCAGTGAAGTAGGTTGTCGCCTCTGTCCCAGCCCCAGGGTTGTCCAGTGGTGATTCCAGCGTCCCCACCAGCACGAGCACTCCATCCTCACCCTCCAACCCCACAACGCGCAGCCTCTCCACCCACTCAGGGGCGGGCGAGAGACCAGGAGGGTGTTTGGAGGACGCAGCCAACCACCTGCATGGGTACCCTCATGCCTCCTCCCAGGCCCACGGCTGTGAGGACAGGTCAGCTTGGGGATGTGTGCTGGCTCCAGAAGCCAAGGCTTGTAAGGGGAAGAAATGGGATCTCAGCTGCTGTCGGTGTCCTGGGACCCAGGAGCATGCCTCTTCTATAAAATCCTCAAGCGTCTTAGAGTCACCAGCGGTCTGGGCTCCAGGAAGGAGCCTTGGGCTCACGGGCATGGAGAGAAGGCTGAGGATTGATGCCAGGGCCCTTCTCAGTTCCTGAATCCACAAGGCAGTGCCAGCCGCCACCCTGCCTGTTTCTACAAACAGGAAATGGACGAGGGGCTGTCAAGAGGGAGATGTGCTGGAGGCAGGCGTGATGGGAGCCCCTTCCTCGAGGGCACCTCCGTGGTGGGGCGGAGAGAGAGCCCCGCCTCAGACATCCTTCAGCCCATCAGGAACTACAGCCCGCCCTGAGCATGGACTTCCCGGAAGCTGGGCCAAGCCCAGCAGCCCCGTCCTACGCTTTGCTTATCTGGCCCTCCAAAGCCACCCCTGTGACAGCCGAGCTGCCCTGGACTAACACTGAGAAGGCTGGACTGGGATCAGACGAAGTCCTGAGGCTGTCTCTGCCTCGGACCCAGGGGTGTCAGCTCCACCAGTGCCTGTCCGAAGGCACGTTCCTGAAGAAGGCAGAGTGAGGCCCCTGACTTCAGTGCCATCCAGTGGTAAGCAGGCTAGACAGGCCTGGGTGGCCCTGGGCTCTGGCTCGAAGACCACGCACATTGATTTATCTGCTTTTCCACTCAAGTAAATGTCATCCAACTGAAATTTGTGTCTCCGAGCCAAATGGGAGGGTCCTGATAGAGCCATCAGTCCATTGTGGAGCCCGTCCAGCTTACAGGGTGCCTGACAGACAACCGGACCAGCCTAGGGAAGAGCTGAGCGGTTAACAACCACCACCCTTCGGTGGTGCGTCATTGCAGGAAACCAAGAGGTCAGGGCACAGGTGCCTTCTACCTCTGCGAAAAAGGTTCCACCTCTGCGAAAAAGGTTCCACCTCTGCGAGAACATCTCCATCTCTGTGAGAACGGTTCGAGGTCCTGTAATTTCACACCCTGTCCATTCTGACATGACCCACAGAGGAAGAGCAAATACCAGAAACAACGAGTCATGTGCAGCCAGCTGCCCCGCAGCTTTCACGGAGAACACCTAAGCACACAGCATCCTACGTGCCTGAGACGTCGTTTCCATTTTCCAGATGAGAAGAACGAGGCTTAGAGACATTCAATTATCACACAGATGTGTCAGAGGTATCAGTGGCAGACTTAGAATCCTGTGTCTGTTGTTTGTGTTTTTTTAACAAAACGACAACAACAGCAACGACACTGACCTTGCCTCGAAGTTCTTTCCAGGGACAAGGCTGGTAACACGTTTAACTTGTCAGCACTTGATGCCAGCAGCGGGAAAGCAAAGGAGGAAACCCAACTGCTGTTGAACACCTCCTTCTACAAAACTGAGGATTCTTCTGAGCAAGGGCCGTTCCCCTTCTCCTGGCGTGATTATTCTGGACCGCGATGGGATCTGAAAGACTTAAGGGCCCCCCCAATGCTCTGGCAGGTGTTAGAGACCCAGGCAGCAGTAGAGATCGGGGCTTCAAAAAGGGGCCTGACTCACATTCATGGGCTTTACCCACTTGGAAAGATGGCTTTGCGGGGGACAGAGCCGAAGAGTTCGGCTGAGCCATGGATAACCCCAAGCCAGTGATGGCCACCCTCCTCGTCAACTCTCCCAGAAGTGCCTCAGTGAACCCATCACAGAAGTGGGGGGTGAAAAGACGGGGGGAGGGGAGTCGTCAAGAACACGGGCCTCTCTTTAAGAGGGCTGTAAGGGCAGCTGACAATCCCCTCCAGGGACTGAGGAAGGGAGACACAGGGGTAGGACAATGTGAGCAGGAGTCTCTGGAAAGGGAGAGCTGAATGGAGGTTGAATAAGGTCCCGCAGACAGCCCACTCCCAGGCCTTGCCCCCCAAATCGATGGCTTCCACCCAAAATCTGCGACTCACTGCTTTTGAACACAATTTCCTGACCCAAAAGTGGCAGCTCTGGGCTCTCCTTGACTAAAGTGCCTTCTTCAAGGCAAGGGGCATCAGAGACTCAGCATAAACCTCTGCGGTGAGGACGATGTCTTTGTCAGAGCACAGGCTGCCATGATGAGCGGCCACCCCTACGGGAACCCTGAGCACACAGGCAGGCAGCAGGTCCTCCCTGGGCCCTGCTGCAAAGGCCCTGGAGAATCTTGTCACGTCTCTGGGAGCAGGGGCCACGTGTGTGCGTCCAGTCTCATTAAGTGCTGGCACCCTCAAATGCAGCAACACATTAAACCAAAGGTCAAACATCCGCAGGAAAACTGGCCATACAAATTCAGGATTAATTACATATATGTATACATAGGTATGTATATATGTATTACATGTATGTGTGTGTGTATCTGTATGTATATATATGTATGTATATGTATATATAAGCTATTCTTTAAAAATTCTTCCCAAGCCTAGTTTTGAGCCACTGGAAGTGGGGATGAAGGCATAGGTGGAATGTTGCTAAGAATCTGTCTCTGGTCACTGGCTGAAGGAGGCATGAAAGGGAGCCTGACCTCACCCCCCGATGTTTATGTGTGTGTTGAGGGGCGCACATGTGTAGGTATGTGTGTGTCAATGTGTGCGTGTATTGTGTGTGTTCGTGTACGTGTGTGCTGAGTATGCATCTGTGTATTTGTGCACGCGAGTGTGCTGGGGACAGTGTTGTGAGTGTATGTGTAGAGTGTGTGAATGCGATTGTGTGTATGTGAGTGTGTGTCCGTGTGGGGGCGAAGGGCTTGGGAACACATTCGGCTCTTGGGGATGGTCCCCGCAGATCAGAAATAACCTACTGAGACCTCTGGTCACTCAGCAGCCTTTTCCTGGGCTATGTTCTATGGTTCCATCCCCATTTGCTGGGCAGTGTCCAGAAAGTATGACTTTGTGACGCTCTTGGATTCATTCCCAGCTTCTATTTGGAGATTGTGTTCAGGAGTAAAGCTGATGTTTTTCTGATTGTCAGGCTTCTTGGGCAACTAGGAGCGAGAAGGGAACCCTCTCCCGGCTAGAACATCTCACATCAGCCTCGAAGGAGAGATTCCTACTCTGTGTTCTGTATGGTATGCTTTGAAAAATCGATGCATTTTGTTTCAAAAACCACACTGTAATAAGATTTTGGCCAGCCAAAGAGCCCAAGAACCTATCTCACCTTCCCACCTAAGAGCAGCTTTTTAAGGGCTCGAGAAGGAGGTTCCGGGGGCGAGGAGCTGGGAGGGGAAGCCTGCCAGGAACTGTCCACTTTCTGACAACTACATTTAAAATTAAGAGCCTGTAGTTTACAGCACAGGGAATATAGTCAATCATACTGCAAGAACTTTGCACCGTAACAGATGGTTACTACATTGAGTGGGGTGATCATGTCATAAGGTATGTAAAATGTCGAATCGCTAGACCGTAACACATGAAACTAATTGTATTGTTGGCATACAATATGTAATCATATTGTATGCCAACTATACCTTGATTTTTAAAAAAATTCTTTTAAACCAGAAGAGTCTGCAGGGTCTCTGTTACAGCCACCTGGACAAGAACAGATCACCCTATCTTTTCAGACCTCTTTAAGGCTCCCTTAAAACGTCTTTGTGGTTCACAATTCAAATGCAGATTATCTCTAATTCAGATACCACAAATCTCTGGTTCAAAGCTGCTCCGCCATTTTAAAGGAAACCTATTTCCGTTCATTTTATCTCTTTAAATCTAACGGAAGGGTGCAAAGTAAAAAAAAAAAAGTAAAGAGATCGGTTCCACGTAAACATTTTTATAATTGTTTAATTTTTAAGGCACACGGAGATCATTTTAACATCTAAAAATACAAAGTTAGCACTAGTTACAAATGGTACCTTTACCATTTAAATATGTCATGATAAAATTAGTCTTAAAAATCCGACTCCTAAACAGATGTGAAAACTGTGTGAGTGGTGATACACATTCGATGCTAGGACTTTGTTTCTCTCACTGGACGTTCTCCCCTACATCACAGGACAGTTACATTCATCATTTTACTCTCTTCCAAATGAGTCGCTCATAGAGCAGACATATACTACTTTTTTAAAGAGCGTTTTAGCATCAACCACAGGCTACAACCAACTTGACAAGAGGGTTTTCTCTAAGACGTCTGTAAATGTCAAAGGAACACAGTGCTTAAACCCTGTGAGGTCTTGGCGAGCGTCTAAAAGCCTCCCATTTTGTCTTCCAGGCCTTGAGTTGGAGCCCTGCAAGCCAGCCCACGCAGATGCTGGTGACAGGCCGGCTGCAAGGACGGCGGAGGGAAAGCCACAGACCCACCAGAAAATTCTTTTGAGTCAATAGTTTCCACTTCCTCCCCAACTTGACCATTTACCAGAACTGCCCGAGAGGAGTCACCATGAATTTTATCTCTCTGGATTTTCCCTTTCTGACCTTGAAATGACATGATCAAGGGCAGAGAAGCAGCAAGAACCAGGCTAGCCCCACACCACATCGGCGCTGAAGAGATGCAGTGTTGGGTCTTAGGCCGTTAGGAGGACACGAGGTGTGCCTGGTTCGCCTTTCAACACAGGGCAGAAGATTCTCCAACTTGCAGCTGGTATTGAGAGTCCTCCAGAGGGAAGGGGGTCAGGGGAGGGAGCAAGAGAAGACAGGGGTGAGGAGGCTGGAATGAGCGATGGAGGAGGCGCTCTCTTCTGTTGCCTTCCCGGGCACCACCAAGGTGGTGACAAGGCAGAGTGGGGGCCATCCACAGCTTCTGGTTCCTGCCGGTCCCTGCCGGTCCCTGCCGGTCCCTGCCAGTCTGTGGACTCTGCAGTTCTCCACGCCTGTGAAACCTGATCGCAAGCATCCCCTCTAGCTCTGCAGTGCCAAATCTGTTTGTTTGTTCTACGTCCTCTCTGGATGGTCATCAAGGCGTTACCAAGAGGTCCCCTCACCAGTCCTTCAAAATAAAGTCATGCAATACCACATATGAATGGAATTGGATGTGTGTGAATGTGTGTACGAGAGAGGGAGACTGAAGATTTGGAAGATGTTCACCAATAAGTGATCAGTAGTTATCAAAGGATAATGAAATTTCAGGTGATTTTTTTCCTTCCATCTTAATACCCTCTGACGTTATTTTGAAAATATTAAAATAGGCATGTGTCATTTTGTAATTACAAAAACAGTATTTTCATTCTGAAAAATATTAAAATACTATTTCAGATGAGAAAAACAGGCTACGCATGATTATGAAAACTATCAAACTTTTTAAAAATTGTAGTTGGAATTGAACCCAAACCTAATTTGCTTTGACTCTTAAACTGCAAAATACATGTCCTAAATACTACAGATTACAATGCCAGCGAACGTCAAAGATATAAATTAATTAACATAAACTGGACAACTGGTTGTATAATAATAGATGCTGATATTGTTCAGATGCCCGAGTGAGTTGACAATTTAGGGGGCCTCGTATCATTGGGTGTTGAGTGGATCAGGCTGTGATATGTCATTATTAAAATGTGAGCGTTATTTTGCAAAGGATGGTTACTGGGGAGAAAGACAAGGAACACATTCTTTTCAGAGCTTAGCTCAAATAACCGAGGAATAAGACAGAAACACCTCGGCTTCACTTCATTCTTTTCGCGACATCTGAATAGGCGTGTTCGATCTCCTGGTCCGCCGGACACGTGTTTGTGAACTCGTCCCTGGCATAGGCGTTGTGCAAGTATCTCCAGATGCCAGTCATGTCAGGAGGAAATTCAAAGTCTCTGTATCGTTTGGCCACAATCTGAAAATGAAGAGGAAATTATCAGCCAAGGGAAACCCCACCAATGTAGGCAATTAGATCAATCTACTCCTTTGAGGTGGGTAACATATCCTCTTTCTCAAGTCCCAATGTCATCCTCCAGTCATTTGGGCCACCTGAGTCGCACTTTGACTTTGCACGGGACATACTGGGGACAGGAGAGGTGATAAAGGCACTGGACTCAAAATAGTGGCTCCACACAAGCCTGCCCACGGGTGTCTCGGGCAGTCCCCGTGAAGGGCTGGCCTGGCTTTGCTCTGTATCCCAGATTTGCCCGCAGTGTGTCCTGTGGCTTTCCCTTCGTGCATTCTGCTGCTGCGTTACTTGATGCCTAAAAATTCAAGACGGGTCTTCGGTTTAGATTGTGCTCAGATCGCCATGAAGCGCCCTCTTTGTCCTACTCACCGGGCCTCACCTCCTGAAATCCCAAATACCTTGTACGTTTTCCCGCAGACTTCCATCCCGCTGCCAGCGAGAGGATCGTTTCATCGTGGTCCGCCGTGGGCAGAGAGGGCGGAGTTGTGAACGAAATGGACACGAACCCTGAGTTCGTGCAGGTAGTGGGCCCAAGGACAGGACGACTGGCCGTAGCCAGCACGGGCGACACCACGCCTGGACGTGCTTCCTCTGGCAGGTGCTTTAATTTACCGGAGCCTCTCTTCCTCAGAGGTGTGTATCTCATCTGTTTTGCGCTCTATTTTCCCTTCCCTTTATCCATTTTTCCTTCCTCTTTTTATCATCTTCATCCACAGAGAGGTCCCACTTGGATTCTTCCTGGTTATTAATCATCTTTGAATGAGGCAGATCTATCAGACCTACTATTTGCTTAAATATAGTGTGGAGGGCCACGGAAGTAGACGGGGCAGCTGGTAGACCGATTTGGATATTTACCCTCAAACACTGTCTCACTAAACACTGCTCTACACTCTGCCCTAGGGTCTTACTAGGGTTAGGGTTAGGGCTACCATCAGGGTCAGGGTTCAGATTAGGGTGAAGGTCAGAATTCTGGGTAGGGCATCTTCCACTTGGAGGTTCACAAATAAGGCAGGAGGTCACCGTGGCTAAAAACGAAGCTCAGGTAATTTACAGTACTTCTCGACTGGTTCAAGGCTTGTTTCTCTTCTCTGCTCAGAGACCGAGAAGCAGAATGCCACACCCTTCTCTCCTCCACTCTACCTCCCCTCTCTGTTCCTTTGGATCAGGGGACTGTGGCAGAATGTGAGGATGGCACCACCATGTGGCTCTTCCTTCCACTCTACCTCCCCAGAGATCTCAGCTCGAAAGTGATCTCGGCAGGGATGTCCCCTGCTTCTCATGACCCACTCCACGCCCTAGTCTTCAAACAGAGAAGTTTGGGCTGGCATTTCAGGACTCTAAAAGATTTACTTTTAGAGCCATCTGAACCTTGCTGAAGATTTAAAGAAGCATGCCTTGTCTCTGGCACCGCACACTGGATGAAGTTTCTTAGTCTTCAAGTTGGCGACCCGCCCTTTTCTGGCTTTATGAAAGATAAAACTAATTCTCTATTTCTTTCATATCGTTTTTGCTGGGTTTCAGGAAGGTGAATAAATTATAAATTCCTTTATTCTCTCATCTCTTACCATGAATTCCTTTAGACCGATTCTCATTTCCTTTCAGAAGTGTTCCATCCTGGAAGATTATTAAGCTGTTTGGTATTTTGAGTGCTAAATGGCTTTGAAGATTTTGCTGTTAGGTCTTACATTGGAGCCATGGACTACTTTACGCTAAATACTTTATCTTTCCCAAAATGTAAAGCATTTTTTTTTTTTTTTAAGTAGCAATTGATGTTAGATGGCTGGGCCATTTCGCTCGCTCTTCCCTAACCCTCTTGGGCTTCTGTGATACAACACTGGTCATAGCAATGATTAGAATATTCACTAAAGGGACTAAATCAAGACACAACTCCATACATGTCTTGTTGGAAAATGGCTCCCGAATTTCCGATTCCAACAATGACCAATGTAGAAGGTTTAAGGGATGAATGTACTCGCATTAACTTTCAGGTGTCAGGGCACTGGAAAAATGGTTTATATTGTTGCTATAATATTACAAAGTTATTTATAATGTTCTCTTCAGAACAATTCGCTTGCGGAATCGGCACTATCTTTAAGGCTGGAATTTCAAACTGGTACCCTGAGCACTGTAAAAAGAGAGGAGAAAGGAGGGAATGGGGCAAAGATTGGGAGGGGGATAAGAAATGCAGGCAGAGGAAGGCAGGAGAATGACATGGAGTATCCAGGGGTGGCTATAAGAGCATCGGCACCCCGGGTCATGAGAATCTAATTTGTAAATTTCTAAATGCCAATTAAATGTGTATTAGAACACGGGGTCCCTGGCTCGCATTTCCCTGTGTCTTCTCTCCCATGTCCTTTATCCTTATACCAAGGACCTAGCTCGGGGTCTGGTGGGATGTGAATAATAGTGGTGCCCCAGAACAAGGCATGGGCTTCTTCCTGTGGCATTGGAAGCTACTGCGGGCCAAGAACATAATGACAAGAACAATTAACACCTGTAAGTAAGAGAGGGAGAGAGCCGTAACTAAGCAGTCCACTGGGGGGCCGTCTGCCTTGGAATCTCAGGCTCACCCCAGAAGTCTTGATTTAGTAGGTCAGAGGCTGGATTGAGGGATTTACATGTTAAAAAGCTCCCTGAAACCACTCACGGATCTAGAGAGCCTTTAAACCTTAATTATATATAACCCATGACTTTTATTTCATGTTTAACCATCTGGGAAGACAGGGTGCCAAATCTGCAGAGGCACAGCCAAGGAGCTGTCAGTGCACCCCAGCTGCACAAGGTCAATGGGAAGAACGGAGAGAACACGCCTCCATCGTCCCTGGGGAAGGCTTTGTTTACCCTGACAGTCACCAACAATGGACGGAATTTACATTTTAATACTCGCAGATCCCACTCGTTGCTTGTTAAATGCCAGGTATAATCAATGTGTTCCTGCAAGTGGCTTTCACGTAACTTTTCTTTAGGTTGTGGGGGGCAAGACTTGAGAAGAGAAGCAGCGAGCATGGAGGGACAGGAGCCAAGTTCCCAGACGCTTCTTGAGACTGACTATCTGAAGAGCACCTGAGAACATCCGCATATCTGAAACCGGGGGTTTGGCTGCCTCAAACAGAAACAAGCTAGACTGCTGACTGCATTTTAGATTGTCTCGCTGTCCGGCCACGACACAAGTCAGAACAAAATAAAACAAAGCCCCACTCCCATATTCGGCTCACATGGCAGGAGGAGCAACGAACCTTAATAATATGGAGCTTGGGTAAGAGGTTACAGTCGGCAAGGGTGAGCTCGTCTCCATCCAGGAACTTCCTTCCAGAAACAGCCACTTCCTCGGTGCTGTAGGCATCGACTTCATCAGGCAGAGGGCTATTTAAGTAATTATCCAGCTTCTTCAGGGCCTTTAGGAGGTTCTTTTCATAAACTAGAACAGAAAGGGCCAAAACCGATGACGATAAGCCGTGTGAGTTAGTGTTACCTTTCTCTAGGGACGAAGGAAGGAGTCTGACATGGCCTCACTCCTCCCTGAAAACTAATTCTGCTGTCTACACAACACTGCACCTTCTAGAACTCATTCATCTCTTCAGAAACCTTTATGGAGATCCTACCATGAAGTAGACCCTGGCAGGAGCATCATTCAAACAAATTCCCATGATGCACCTGGGCACTCTTAATGGTGGTTATCCCCGCCCCCTCCAAAATGTCATTTTCTGGGCTTTCAACCTCTAGAAGAAGCACTCAATCTGAAACCTCGTACAGTCAAAGTTGGAGGTACTTTTCCCTTATTTCTAGACACAGATCCTCCAGCTCTCTGTGAAATGAGGCCGAAGTCCCAGGATCTCATAAGAAGCCAGCCCAGAGGCCAAGCAGAGGGCCATGTTTGAAAACAGAAACCAAGAAGATGGGACGCACTCACCTTCATTCACGTCCTTCTTGGTGTTTTTTATAAATGCCGAGAACTTAGCAAACACATCATTTCCTGCAGAGTTAGACTCAGGGTATTGGGTCCCCAACTTAGGGTACCTTGAAAAATCGAAAATTGGAACATCGCAGATAAGCAGCGCTTGAGTTAGGATAAAACAATGGGGGAAAGTGTCCCTCTGAGGGGAGTGGAAATAAACATGAAAACTTCCCCTTGGAGAAAAGCTCTAGGCTGACAGTTTTCACCCTGGGACACAGGGCCGCGGGGCCTCACTGGCCTCAGAGCCCTCCCTCCTAAAATGGAGGTGCCGGACGAGCAGGTCCTTCCTCGTCCAGCACTGGGTGAGGCTGCGTGCCAGCACTCACCCTGCCCTCCCCGCAGAGGGCCCGAGCCGCGGCCAACCGCCCCCCACTTCCTGCCATCCCACAACCCTCGTCGCCAGGCGGCAGCTGCAGAGCAAAGACATCCAGGCCACCTTCACGCACGGTTTCTCGTCTCGCCCTGTGTCTTCTGTAGCACACCACGGGGAAAGTTAGGCCACAGAAAACCAAACACACGAAGCCAAGAGCTTTGTCTGGGGGGTCGGCAGTGACAACCAGGTTGCAACACTGGTTTTACAAGGCGTACCTCGGGGGAGCTAATTTCTCCTCTAAGAACTCCTCGATCTTATTCACATCCGTCTGGACTTCACCATCAAAAGTCATAAAAGGAGGGTTGGTTCCGGGAGCCAGGTTCTGCAGGTCTGCGGGCTTCCTGGGTGGGAGGGAACGCCAGCGTTTGTGGGCAGCCGCCAGCGTTCAGGTTCATTGCCACGGCTGAGCTGCATCCTCCCCAGTGTAAGAGAAACGACCCTTGAGAATTTCAAAGGGGATCGTGCGCTTGTAAAATGTCTCACTGGTGCTGAAAGTGTGGCCCCTTCTCTAGCCACAGGACCCTCCCCTTTGGGAAATAAGGCCAAATTCCCAGGATCCGAGGTGAAAAAGTCAGCTCTCCCCTGCATCGTCGCCAGCAGTGGTGCCCAGACAGGCCTTAGAGAGGTTCGGGGCTGACCAAGAACTAGGAGAGCAGGTTCCTCTGGCGCCCCCAACTCCCACTCCTTCCTTATGCCATAATTACTGCTTAGCTCACGCTCAGCTTCGGGGCAGGGCGCCGAGGAGCTCCGGCATGCCCATGATAACCTCACGGGTCTGAAGAGCGCGTGTGTGTGCGCACACGCGTGTGCGTGACATACAGTTATCTTCCTAACGCAGAAACCACGTCTTACCTTTTCAGGTCCACTGTTGTCACGTTGAATATAACGCCCTTTAGCCAGAGAATCATAAAGAGACGCTGAGAAAACGGGCAATTTCCAATACTCTCCCCATCATAACCAGCCTACAAACGGAAAAAGAAATCTTCACTGGAGCCGGTCTCAGGATCACAAGCGCCAGATTGCGCAATGCCTGAGCAGAAAACCATTATAAACTTTTGTTAATGGTCACGATACCGTAAATACCCTTCAGAGGCCATTTCACTTGGCCTCCGCGCCAAGGCGGGGGCGGGGCGGGCGGGGGAGGACACAGCCACGCTGCACCCGACATGTTCTTCCTTCCTTTCCACGGCCTCACCACTTCCTGCCGCGCTGGGCCTCTGCACAGTCCACGGAGGGGGAGAGTGCTCACAGGGAACCCCCTTTGTTGCCAAAGGCAAAGAGGACAGACACGCCCTCTCCCCCTTGCCTGTCCCTAGATCCTCTGCAGAAGCAACACACCTCCCTTTCCAGGATGACAGGTGCTTAGCATCAGACCAGCAGACTCTCCAGCGAGGCAGGACCCCTAACGGTCTCCTCTGTGCTCGGCCACAGAATGAGAGGGTTGGATGACGTGCGTTCGGCGATGCCAGGACGCTGTAAAACTGTTATGTCCCCTGTCCGATTCAGAGGGCGGCGGAGGGATGGGGAGCGAACGTGCTGAGAAGGCAGGTTACCACACAGTGGGCATCGACGGTGGAAGGTGTGAAATAGTTCCTCTCCGACGACCCAAAGCTGGTCACATCCACACACACCTCCCCAAACACAGGCATAGAACATACTGAGCACACGGCCCCCGCCAGAGCAGAAAGACAGGTGCGGGCGGAGAGGCGGGAGATGTGGGCTTTGCAACCCCTGGGGAAACGGAGGGCTGGATTCTGGCTAAGGGAGGAAGCTCCGAAATGCCTCTGTCTCACCCCGTCTTTCTCACTCCACGCACCCCTGACAAGGTCATCGTGCTCGCGAAACGCTGCTGGAAAAGCTCGGAGGTGGCTCAGACGCGCCCCTCGCATCCCGAGATTTCAAGCACCACGCTCAGCGGATTCAAGGACGCGAACACGCTGCGCTGAATCCATGACGTCCGTTCCCACCACGTGTGGTTAAAACAAAGTCGGGAGAAGAGCAGCATGCCTAGAACCTGAACAGGAGGGGGACGCGAGGCGGAGCGGGAGCTGCTGTTCGGGAAACCAAGAAAAGACACCTCGAGAAGATCGGACGACGCAAGACATCCTTCAGGGAGGTGGTTCCCCGGAGTTAAGTCGCCCGAAGGTTGCCGACCACAAGATGCCTCGACAAATTAAGAGGATAAGAGACCCAGGGCCCAGTGTTTAAAAGCCTCTTCACTAAAGGCACAATCCAAATGGCTGGTAACACATGAAAAGTTCCTTAACATCATCGGCCAGCAGGGCAATGAAAACTAAAACCACAGAGACACCACTACACACCTCCCAGAACGGCTACAGGAAAAGGTCTGACGACGCCACGTGTGCACGAGCGTGCACGCGCACCTGTGCACGAGCGTGCAGAGCGACTGAGCTCCCACCCATTGCTGGCGAGAGTGTGAACTGGGGGCACGGCGACTCGGGGAAACCGTTCGGCAGTTATCCGCCGAAAGCTCAACACGCAACTACTCGATGGCACAGCAGTTCCCTTCCCAGCAGCAATGAGCACGGATAGGGATGTTCTTAGCAGCTTTAGTGAAACATCAAAACCCGGCAACGGCCCAGTTGCCATGGAGGACAGAATGAGGACATGAGGTGTAGTGTGTCCATACGGTAGGACACCACGTGGAAGAGAATTAGCTGTTATGCAAAGGACGACGAAGATCAATCCCTCACACACAACGTCGAGTCAAAGAAACCAGACGCAAAAGAGTCCCGTACAATCTAATGCAGGTGAGGTTCCAACACAGGCAAATGTCTCTGTGTGATGGGAGGGGAGTCCGAAGAGCAGGTGCCCCCGAAGCAGAGTATTGTCTGGGAAGGATGGGAGGGGGCCTTCCAGGTGGCAGACGCGTCCTACGTCTTGATCTTGGTGGTGGCTACACAAGTACATTCGACTGGTAAAGCCTTACGGTTGGGGTACTTTAGAGCATGCGTAACTTCAATCCAAAAGAAAAGAAGGTAAAAATGTTCCTTCGAAAACAAATACAGAGAGTCAGATCCAGTAGGTCTGGCCCGGGGCCCAGGAATCTGAATTCTTACCAAGCTTCCCTCGAGGCGATGTGATGCTGGTGGTCAGGGACCCGTGAAGATAATGGGTGGACTTAACACACAAAAAGAGGCGCCAATACACCCAGATAACTGAATTCAGAGTCCTCTAAGCTCTGGGCGCCTGCTTCATACACTCCAACCCCTCCGGCTCTCCCTTCCTCTCTCCTGCATTTTATCAGCTGTCCACTTAGTGAAGGGGAGGAGCCGAGAGCTCCCCAGCTGGAGTCTGTGAGGCTGCTGGGCGCATGCGGGGTGGGGAGGTGGACGGTCACGACCCAAGCATCCATGCGGTCATTACGGCTCCCCCGAAATGGCGACCCCTCCGCCGCCTGAGCCCCGTCCCCTCAGCTGAAGGCTGCCCAGCTCCTGCTCGCTCTGCTCCAGAGCAAGAAGCAGCACAGAGCGGAGTCCGTAAAACTCCCAGCGGCTCGCTCCTCGGGATGCCTCTTAAACGGTGCCGCCTTACCTACTGCAGGTTGGGGCAGAGTCGAGCCCAGAGAGGGGGCAGGGGGGACGAACGCGCAGGGACACGAAGCCACATACTTCGGCCAGTGCTGACTTGCTCCGCGGCTTTCCAACCTCTCAGTTTTACAGCATTTACGCCGAGCATAACAAAGTCCGAGAGGAGCTCTGCAGAGTGCGGTTTCTCCAGCTCCCTGGCGTCTGTGACCTTGTCGTAACACAGCCTGAACGTGGCCAGCCCCCGCTGAGCCCGCGTGTGCTCTGCCATCACCCCTGGGTGTCTCGACGCAGCGGGCCCGACGACGGGCTCCGTGTCTGGGACAGGACGGGTCGGGCCTCCCTGCAGCAAACCGTCTTCTGTCGTGGCGTCTGGAGAATGACCACACTGCGCGGGCCTCTCTCCACCCTGCCCCGGATCTTTAAGTCTCCGACTCACGCCAGTCTTCTGCTCGCCATTTCTTGAGTTCTGGCAGCTACTTCTTTGGGACAAGAAACGGGGAAGGAGCAATGCATTTTTTAAAAAACTAGAAACTGCCTTTGTCATCGGACTCTGTAAAAACTTCAGACTCCTTACCAGGTTCCTTCCTAGAGCTGCAGCTGGGACCGAACACGGGGCCAGAGGGTGGGACGACGGGCCACACGGCCATGCACCCCGGCTTAGAAGGCGGTGACGGAAGCCGTGACTGTCTATGTGTCCCCCACCCCCGCTCCCCCATGGCCTTAAAAAGAAATGGTTCCAACCCGGCACAAAGGGCGGACTGAAGGCTGTTAGGCGTTTTAGAAGATGAGTAGCCACAACTGCCAGTAAAATGGGGTTTACATCTCCCGAGTTGCCTCGTCTTAAATTGCTCAAAAAAAAAACGTTCCGTCTCATCTGTTGCAAATGAGGGAGCTACAGGAACGTGGTGGGAGTGACCAGGACGCCCTGCTGCCTGATTTTGTTACTTTATTATTAGCTTCGGTTCTAGGATGTGCCAGCAGAAGGCAAGGCGGACATACGCCGTCCCCAAAGCCCGTGACTGAGCAACACGGGGGGAGCGTCGACATCCTGGTCAGACTCATTCAGCAGACAAGACAAGACAACGGGATCAAGACGTTTGTATTAGGAGTGAATAACCAACGCCGTCGCCATAATCGGAACATTGTATCGCATAGAGTTTTATTTTCCATCGCTAATAATGCTCTCAGGCTAATTACACTCTGGGCTCACATTTCTCAGCAGAGTTCTCAGCCTACGGGGGAAATTTCGTATGTATAAATTTCTGATAAAATCAAATTAAGCAGTTTGAGAGCTCAGAGTGTCTTTTGTCTCCAGACGACCCAGGCACTTGGGATAACCCAGAATTGCCTGTCTGCCTTTCAAATTCCAACTTTTTTGAGCACCCACGATGGCACTTCTCCAAAGAAAAGCATGAACGCTTCTGACGTGTTCCCAGAAATTCTGCTTGCGACTGAGACCAGCTGTGGCATTGGAGACCCAAGGCTGGAGGTGATTCTGCTGGGTGCTGGCCCGCGCCCACCTCCCTGTCACCGGGGCCCGAGATGTAAGGTTCCAAAGGTCACTACAAAGGTCAGCAGTTCCTCTTCACCACGGGCCCTCTTCAAATTAGAGCCTCTCCCACCTACTCTTTGCACAGTTAACTCTATTCAGAATCTGTGGGGAAATTTTTTTTTTTGTAATTTTCCTTTCAATGTTTTTTGCTTTAGGCCAATGACCTCTCCAATGCTGGGCTGGAGTTCCACGCCAGGGGTACCCCCCACTCCCCCACCTTCCACGAAATGACTCCCGCCCAGCCGCCGCTTGTGAAGGGTCAAACAGACCCCAGGCATCCCAGTCTAGACTTGACAACTGGGTGATGACCTTTCGATTTAGTCTTGGTGGCTCCTTGGCACCCCACCCGCTCCTTCCTGCCAGAGCAGGCCGTGCACACACCATCTCGATTCCCCACCTTCCTGGCACTGCCTTCTTTCTAGAACATTCTACGTGAGCCTAAATGGTAAACACATTCTGCAAAGTGAGCGCTTTTCCTTACTCTACCCAAATGTGAAAAATAACTTGGGTGATAGAGAGAAAGAAGATGCAATAAATTGGGAATATTCTAATTATCCCTTTTTGATAAAAAAATAAAGAAGATGCAATAAATTGGGGATATTCTAATTATCCCTTTTCTGATCCCTGGCTTTCAGCCAGAGAGGTGGGAAGA